GCTATAGGATTGTTGGTGTTCAAGGTACACAGTAACATGAGGATGGTTATACACAAGGCTCTTCGTGAAGGGATCCTAGACCAGATTTTCATAGAAGCACTCAGTGAATTCAACTGCACTTGCTTGAAGATCTGAAAGAAAAGGTGCAATATTTTATATAACCAGTTGCTTGAAATATATTTAATTTTTTTTTCCTGATGATGTTCTGCTTAGCAGTATATTTACTGTGTTGGTAAGTCTGGAGCATGAACAAAACTGCAACTCCTTAAAGTGTTCTAAAATCATGAGCCAAGACTGTCTTAAAGAAATTATATGTCCATATGATTACATTCTCTCATTTTTTCAGGCCATACAGAACAGTAAGGTCATACTTTTTAGCTTTCCCTTCACATGCCAGTATTTAAAGTTTAAGTTTTTAGATGAAATTTTAGTTTTTCCATGCAATAAAGAATCATGGATCTGAAATTATGAAGCCATAAAAATGACTGCAACTCTTCAGAATTACGTTTGCCTGTAGGTCATTCTGCTTTCCTGAAGAACATAATAAATGCTGTATTAATTCATATCACAGGTGTTTTCAGAAGTGGCTGCTCCTGGGTGTTTAGCAAAGTAAAATAAAATAAGGTAAATGTAAAGTGATGCTCTTGACTTCCTACAATGAAGAACTTGGTTAGGCTTTGCAACGAGGATCACTGTGTGCCATACCTATTAACTTGTACCTTTGGCTTTCATAAAATCCTGTGGTAACAACTTCTGTAATTTAATTACAGTCTTTTTTAGAGTAGCAATTAATGTTTGTATTATGTTACTGGATCATGCCACTTGCTTTTCTTCAACTCATCTTGTAAGAAACAGTGTCCCACCACCCTGTTCAAGTTATCCCCATTATGCATGGGTTTGTTCTTCCCTTCTGAGTTTTGACAATCCTAACTCATACCTTCTGCTTTAACTCATACCTCTGGAATCTGATCCTTAAGACTCCCTTACTCTGTGAAGGCTTTAATGTTTATTGGCAGTCAGTTGTATCCAGCATAATTCCTCAAAAATCAATCATCCCAAAAGCATATCGGTGTTGCAACTTCAGTCCCTTGTAAATAATGTGATGAGTTGTGAAGGTATGATAGCCAGAAAACTGTATTTGCTCACCACAATATTTTTCAGGGGGCTGGAAAGTGGCTGCAGTTGCCTGCAGATAGATTCTTGAAGTGACCCTATGCTGTTGTTTTTGTGTTCCCTTTTTTCCTCATCCTCCAAAAATAATTGGAAATAGCGTCAGCTACTAAGACAGTAGAAAACATCAATAACTACTTTACCTATTTCCTTGTCTCAGTGACTTGTGACAGAGGACTTGGGAGCCGCTTAGTTGATATCCTAATGGAGATGCCTGTTAAAAATACAGTGTTACCTGGTTGGTAGATAAAGAAGATAAAAGAGAAAAGTACAACGGAACATGTTACAGAAATCAAAATGCCTCAAAGAATACGTATCAACTGGGTCAATAAGGGGTGAAACTGAAAATTTTCAGCAAGTCCCAGGCAGTTAAAGACGTGAATGCTTGACTGCAGTGCTGGTGCCACAGTTCTGCCATTTTTTTTCTGGTTTTATTCAGCTTACAAGTGAACTTACGATGATGTTCTTTCCCTCATTCATCTCTTTTTTCAGACTGGATATATATATATAAATGAATGAAAGGAGCAGTTTATTCTACTAGTTTTGAACATGACATTTTAAGGGAGATCTACATTATGGAGGCAGAGATAACAAGGAGGCGATAACTGCTATACTAATCAGGATTTCCAGAGTGTAAATGACTTTGTTTTCCTCTCATAAGGCCCCAAATCCTGTCCTGAATATCTACCATTCAGTTTTCAAGAGTAAGGCCTTTGTGTACCTTGCTAGTCCTCTTGTCCAAACTGGAACTACACAAACAGAAGATCTAGCAGACTCATTAGTCTCTGCACAGAAGTTCTGAAATAAACCAAGGAATTTTTTTGAGATGATCATCTGTTAGCTCTGAAACTTGGATGTTGTCTCTCAGCCTCCAGGCTTTCATCCTCTATTGCCAATGATGGCTGTTGTCCCATTTCTTCCTGTTCAACTCCCAATCCTTCAATTGTTCCGTTGCCCATCTCCTATTTCTTTGCTTTCCTGCTTTTTATGCGCTATTTTGCCAAAGTTTATATTTAATTTTTTCTTCTCCCCGCCCCAGTTTCCTATTTGCCACTTGCCTTTCTTCTGAAACTTTTATTTAAAGAGTCTTTAAAGAAAGTTTAAAAGAAATATGTTACAAACTAAATAAAATTTCTGTTGGTCCAACAAATAGTATATTCTCATAGCTGCCTCAGTTTAATTTTTCCCCACTGTTTAGTTGAATGGTGATCAATCTGGATTTGAAGTTCTGTCTCAGAATTTGAGTCTGCTAATGCAGTCAGTGATATAATGAGGTCAAAGTTTAAAATGGCGTGCAGTGCTGATATAAATGATGTTAAAATTCAAGATTCTTGTTTTCAATCTGTCTGACTGACAGCATAGATAGATTCTGTCTGGCTTGATTGTGCCAAAAGTGCTATGCTTCTGCAGTTCTGCATGAGCTTCCAGCACAACTAGGTGTCTAGCTGAACCCACGGTAATGTCAGTTGTGTGGCAGTGCAGCTGCTATAACTGCTGCCTTTACATTTGGGTACCTCGTTTTTATTAGAGATGGCTGGAAAACAGAACCTTTTCTGAAGGAATTAATTTTATTTATTTTATTATTTCTTTTTTTAGATGTTAAAGTTCAGAAGAAGAATTTGATAGAAAATAACCAGTTCTCTGAGAAATTGAATGAAGGATTAATGCACAGTTTTTCAGTTCTTTCTACATGAGAAATGTTCAAAGTCTTGCCTATAGTTAGAGTAGCCAGCAACAAGTGCACAAGAAACAAAGTCCTGATCTTGGGTTTGTAGGAAAAAAATCTGTTCAAATATACAAACTGGTTCCGATATTGTACAAAAATACTAGCATAATATTTGAAAGTTATTTTATTTGCATTTTGCTTTTTGCTCTAATTATGGGCACTTATTTAGTTAATGAACAAATGAAGCTGCATACAAAAATTCAGCTTGTTCTAATTTTGCTGATATGATGCACATTTTACAGCTCTGTTTCTTGACTACAGCAAAACTGATGCAAATATTGTAGGAGTCTCTATTTGATTACCAAATCCCAGTCAGGCAGAGTCAGGTCACAAACCTCCAGTGGGCAGATATGTGTGAGTGTTTCAATCAAATCTGATAGAAATTAATTTGAGGCTTACATTTCCCTTTGAGATGCTTTCTGTGTGTGATTGTGCACACAATACAAGCTTTTTCCTGCTGGAAGCTCTTAAAGAGTACCTTGATTTTGTGGGAATAGCTTTTCCCCTGCTGAATAGTAATAGGATTTTGTATTATATAGGACAAGATCTTTGAAACTTTATTATCCCATCAGAGAAAATACTTTCATGTAAACAGGTTAAGGCCATAACAATCTTTTTTTCTGACTTCGAAGACATTTATCTTGTGGCTTTATCCTGCTTCAGATATTTAATTTTAGTTCCGTAGCTTTAAATCCTGTTTTCTATAGTGTTCTTTGATGTCTTGATAATAGGTGCTTGTTGGATTGGGGCAAAACAGAAATAAAGGCACATGCAGGTAGGTGGGTGAGGCTTTGGGAATAGATAGATGATTACACAAGAATGATATTCCAGTGCCAGGGAATTATCTAGATTCAATATACGCTAAATCAAATGGACATGCTCAACACTTACTTTGGAGTCCAGGCCCCTTTCTGGGCTGCCCATCAGCATTGTGGCCCATGCTTTCTCTTTCCTCTCTCAGGAGCAGGGATGATGCTAACAGGAGTTTCCAATTCTAGCAAGATAAAAGGAGAGGACTACGACCCTCTTTGTCTTCCTACTACCTACATCTTTTCCATTATGGTAAGAAAAGATCCCAACTTGGAACAGAGTTTATGATAGCAAAGAATTGGAAGTCCCAAAAAGGAGGATCTTAAGGAGTAGAGAGGTCATATATCTTACATGAACAAAGGTAAAGAGAAACAGTTTCCTTCACAAAATGGAATTCCTTGGAAAGGTAGCTGAAGGAGTGACTGTACTGAGTAAAAGGAGCTGTACCCTTAAGATGAGATTGATAGTGTTAAGGCCTTTATCATGCAGCTCCTTCATGAAGTTCTGTCTCAAGGGGGAAAGTTCTTATCCTCTGGCAAGGTGAGATTGGCTGCAAGCAGGAGACTGTGAGGGAAAGCAAAGGTCCCCCATCACAGTCTCCCAGCTCCCATCAACCTCTTGCCCATCAGAATATCTGGTGGCTCTGTTTTCTTATTTATTGTGAAACAGGCTAATGACACTGATCACTTACAATCTGATTTGGCTAGATGCAAAAAAATGCAGTAGCCCAAAGGCTAGCATGCTGATGAATCAGAGGCTGGTAGTGATGAATCCTAATGAATTCTGAATTTCTAGATTCCTTCCAGCTGCTTATCAATTCTTCTACAATGCATGAAACAAAGGCTAATAACTCAGAAGATCAGAAAAAGAGCAGTGCACATGCTTTTAAAGAAGGACTTGAATTTTCCAGATGTTATTCCAAACAACATGACTGTCATTTACTGTGATCTACTGCAGGAACTAGAATGGTACTATGGTAAATTCCTCCTTTCTTTTACTCAACCAGGCTTCATGATGCTTGGGCCGTATGAGCTGAACGAGAAGGAACTGAGGGAGGGCAGATGCTGACCAAGGGCAAGGCTCTGAGTCCTTGGCATGTGGTACTGCTAAGGGAACAGCCCTGCAAATAAGTGATGTAGCAGCCTCTCTAAGCAAAAGTGTGGCACAGGAGATGAGTCTGTGAAATCTGACAGCAGAGCTCTTTATCCCATCTACAGACATTCCTAGAGGGTGGAGCTTGTGGCGTCTCTTTTCAGCAGTTCAAAGAGTTCTCCACCAGAACCTGGAGAGCCTGTTATGCTAGATATTTTCAAGGTGAGGAGTGGAAGTGGAATGGGGAAAGGACATCCAAGAAACAACCTGCAAGGAATGTAAGTAAATAAATTTGTACAATTGTAACTGCAAGGGTGTAAAATCTAGTCTTAGACCCAAGATGTCGCACATGGAATAAATACTAGCTTAATATGTACTCAGTCAGTGTCTGAAATTGTCCAAAGTGTTAAAGCTTTATAATGCTTTTACCATGGCCCAGAGAAACATCTCTAACAATCAGGAAATTCTTCCTGAAATAAACACAGAGGGCTGTTAAAGCTAAGTCAGGGAATCTACCCTCTTAAAGTGATCTGCTGCCCTTGATCTATGAGGAAAGTTGTACTGATGTTAAGGGCCATTGGAAAAATTGCAATTCCTGTAACACTGCTGAGAGGTGGTTTAGGTCCTGAATGTTTGGAAAGGGAATTAACGCATGATGTTTGTATCACATTTATTTTATATTCTTATAAACCTTAATGACTTTACATAATGGTAATTCCATGGTGTGAATTCTTATAATTCTTCTTTTAATATTTTCATGTCAAGTACTGAAGCATATAATTCTTCTTTTAATATTTTCATGTCAAGTACTGAAGCATTGCGCATTAAAACTGGCACAAAAAACTGATTGAAAATAAGAGTAGTGTACCTCAAAAATCATAGTCTATAAACTGGAAGCAAAAAACAAAAGAGAACTACTCTTTTTGGGCTCTCCCAATTTTACTATTGATGGCTAGCAGCATCAACTGCTTATACTTTTTTGTTTCCACCCAAATACATCTAGTGATGTACGACAGTTCTTAGAACCCAATTTTTCAGAAATAGTTCTATTTTGTGTGTAAAGCAACTTGAAAGAATAAGTTACAGAGCAAGGCCATAAAGGTCTTCCTTTAGGAGTAGGTTAAAATCACAGCATGATATGACTTATATGAGTCACACAAATAAATAATCTAGAAGTGTATGGACTTTATGCATGTTTTACTTTACCTTGAAAACCAATGTAGTTTAAGCACCAGGGACACCATAGGCATTTGTTCCACTAAAGATGCTGAAAGCATTAAGCAAGTACTGGCCTGCACAAAACCATTTACATTCGATATGTTGATATAGCCTGTGGCATACAATATTAATAATAATTCTCATTTTTACACTCTGTCCAACTTAATGCAGATAATTTGAAACTAAAAATGTTGATCCAAAATGCTTTGCATATGAACATGGGACTTAGTCTGAGGCTTTGTAGTCTCAGGAGATGCAAGTCAACATAGCTTTATATACTTTAAAAATGCTTTTCCAATTTACTCTAGTTCAGGATTTTTTTGAAAATTACTTCCATTTACTCAAAATTCAGTTTTAAATACATTTTATAGCTTCATAGAGCATATGTTGATACAACACACTTTCATGATGCCACATTTTTTTTTGGAAGTAGCTGGTTTTTGTCATCATTCCTCTCTTCTTAAATGCTTTTACCTGTTCACTGGCTAAATCCATCCATCCTTGAAAAACAGCAGGGTGTTCTGCCCTATCCAGGAAACTACACACTCCACCTCTTCATTACTGGACTGCATTGTACCATTATCTTAGCTTGTTCTCTTCATGGCTGCTGGCACCTATTTTATTTGATGCAGTGAATCTCTCATTAAAGGCTTATTAGCATCCATGTCAAGACAATGTGTAAAGTCCTCCTCTTTTCAAGACTGATGAATACAAACAAGTAGAAAATAAAACCCATGAGCAATCTTTGTCATTTTGCTGCCACATGAATACCTCTAACTCTAATTGACAGGGTAATTAAACCCCAAAGTTGTCCCAAGAAAGCAGCCTGGATAGCTGTGATCATGCCATGTAAGGGACAGAGAACACATTTTGTGAAATAGGATCAAAATGGTTTCTGTGCATTTTGTGTCACCAAAGCAGCTGTCCTGATGATTCACATTCTATTAAATATTATTTAATATGTTTTGAGCATGTCATAATCAATTAAAAATAGCTTTCATTTCAGATAACAGTTTTTGAATTTTAAAACTGGGAATCACTTCCTTGGGACAAAGACCCCTAAGGGCTCTCCTAAGGACCCCTGTCATTCATTCCTCACTTCTCGGGTTTGTCACAGTTTAGGGTCAGGCCTCCATGGGAGATCTCTATAGCAGAAACAATTTCTTCTACTCTCTCCCAAGTCTTCACACATTGTTTTTTTCCAGAATTGGCACTCATCTAGTTTCTTTGTAGTTGCTACCACATTGTTCCCGCTTTTCATCCTCTTTCTAGGTCCCTTTTTTTATTAACCACCTCTTATATCACTTGGTTTTCCTGCTCTTCTGAGCATTCCGACTGCAGGAACAGCGATTTTCCATTTGTGGACAGTGAAATTGTAAGGAGACAGATGCATCAATTGAATGTTTACACTAGACTAGTTAATCTGGAACAGATCTAAAATGATTGTCCTATGAAAGTCCAACTGCCTGTTTCATTCAAGGCTGTTCGAAAGCTAAAGCATGGTATTAAGGCAATGTCCAAATGCCTCTTTAACACAGGCAAACAGGGGGGACTTCTTCAGGAAGCCTGTTTCCAGGGTTTGACCACTCCGGGTAAAGAAATATTTCCTAATGTCAAGACCATTGGGCCTGATGGGATTCATCCCATGGTAGTGAAGGAGCTAGCAGATGTCACAGAAAGACCCCTGTCATTTATCTACACCAGGGTCCTGGGAGTCTGGGGATGTCCCCACTGACTGGGAGCTAACAAACACGATTCCAATTTACAAGTCCTGGCAGGGTCCTGGGTGTGCTCACAGGCCTCAGTGGCTGGGACTGGCCTCTCCCCACTCCCACCTCTCCTGCCAAGGGTCCAGGGATGTGTCCCAGCTCAGCCTGGGACCTTCAGTCCCTGCCTGAGCCCTGCTGTAGGTGTGCCTATCTCTTGGATGGAGCCCTCAGACCTCAGTCACAGCTTGTCATGCAAAATTCTGAGTTTAATGTGGCAAAGCTATTCTGTTCCATTTTCCTGTGCTCATGATGAGTCAAGTAACAATGATCATTATTTTCCAGAAATGTCATGGCCTTTTCAGCTCCTAAGACACATTCAAGGACACATAACACATAGGTTATAACTGGAAGCAGGATATTATTTTAATTTTTATTCTTCTCCATCTGCTTTGAGCTGAGGCTCACAACCATTTCCACAATGTGCACATGTACCCATGAGCAGGCTGATGTGCTCTTCAGTTAGCTTTAAAACCCATCCTTTGTAGTCTTGAAAATGCAAGTGACAGAGCTACAGAATGTAGCACCAGGAATATAGCAGCTCCTATTTCCTGAAGGGTGAGAACATGAAGACTGAGGATCTGTACCAACCTCACACAAAAAAGAAGGAATGTGGTATTTTGTGGTATTTTACAAATTATGACACATATTGATAACGAGCACAATTTGTGCCTTCCAAGATTTTCTTAGTTGCTGTGCTTCCTGGCCAGGGATGCATGAAAAGCACTCTCATGTCTGTCCTGTGCTTGTGTTGCAGGCAGGAGACTGAAAAATGGCAGCTCTGGATGGATGCAAGAACACCTGGGAAAATGGAATCAAGGAAAGAGCAGAGCTCACCCCCACTCCAAGCTTGCAATGGGCAAGAGAGCCGGAGATAGCCAGGGCATGAGGGGTGCTCTGGAGGTGCGAGGGCAGCAGGTAAGAACGGGGCCACAGGGGCCAGAGGAGCCCTGACAAGGGGCTGTGCTCAGTGCTCTAAGAAGCAACCCCCAGAGCCACCCTTGGGGCCCACCCTGGCAGGCTGGAAAGCTTCCTTTCTTCAGATGTGGGGCATGAGGGATGCCTTAAAGGAGTAAGAGCAGCCAGCACCTGGCCAAAATAGCCCAAACAAGCCCTGGCTAGAGGTTGGGCTCTGTGTGGCAGAGGAAAGCAAAGACACAGTGACACTTGCACTGTGGGATAAAAAAAAGCCTTCCTCCCCGCAGATGCAGGGCATGACAGGCTGTCTTCCTGTGGCATGAGCAGTAGAGTCTTCCAAAGGTACCAAAAAGGTAGAAAAAGGGGATCAGAGGAACCCTCAGTAGTGGTCATGCTCAATGCTTCAGAGGAATGCAAAACTGCCTCAGGGGAAAATTCCTCCCTGACCCCAGTGCTGGCAATCAGCTTTTTTTTCAGAGAATGTGAGATAGATCTGTCTACTGCTCCCACAGGCTCATTGTGCCTTCCAGAAGATATCCAAGACCTACTCTGCCCTAGCTGGAGCCATCTCAGGGGCTTCTGAGAGTGGCTGCATGCCACCAGTCTGATCGGCCTTGGGGGCACAAATCTTTCCTGTGCCTATCAGGGCACCAGTGAGTATTGCAAAGTGCTGGGATCCTGCCAACATCTCTGCATCTCATTTCTTATGGCTGCTGCTCCTGGCTTCACAAGGGATGAGGACAGAGCACTCTGCAGTGCTCCTTAAGTGTTCGTCCAAAAGCCATTTCCTTGGTCTTACCGCTTGTCTTGGTGCTCCTTCTCATCTCCTGAGAAGCTGGCCTCTGTCCCCTGAAGTCTGAAGCAGGATTTTCATCTATCCAATGGACTTTGAATATGGCCCCACTAGAAGCTGGCCTTGCAGCAGAGAACTGGCATCAACCTCATCCAGCCCGCCTCAGCCCCCACCAAGAAATTACAGCAGCTCCTTAAGGACTTTCTCTTCAGGCTGACCCTGGACCAGCTCTGTGAGTGGGATGTAGGAGTCCCCAGGCACAGCCCCCCTCACTTGCAGCCTTGTCCACCACACCTCTGTCCAGCATCCATACTAGAATCATAGAACCATAGAATAGCTAAGGTTGGGAAAGACCTTTAAGATCATCAAGTCTAGCCATCAACCCAGCACCACAACCATGCTCACCATTAAACTAGGTCCTCACATGTCATATCACATGTTTTTTGAACACTTCAGGGATAGTGATATCACCACTCTCTTGGGTAGTCTGTTCCAATATTTTAAAATGCTTTAAATGAAAAAAAGTTTCTTAATATCCGTCTAAACCTCCCCTGGTGCAACTTGAGGTGATTTTTCTCTCATCCTATCACTTGTTACCTGGGAGAAGAATTAGCCCTCACCTGTCTATAACCTCCTTTTGGGTAGTGGTAGAGAAGAATAAGGTCCTTCTGAGCCTCCTTTTCCCCAGGCTAAGCAACTCCAGCTCTGTCAGCTGCTCTGCATAAGGCTTGTGCTCCAGACCCTTCCCCAGCTTTGTTGTCCTTTTGTGGACTTTCTCCAGTGCCTCAATATCTTTCTTGTAGGGAGAGGCCCAAAACAACACAGTGTTAGGCCTTCAGAAGAAGGCCTTTGGAGTTGTGGCCCTGAGGCAGTCCCTGTGTCCAGGAGTCTGTCCCTGCCCTTGGTGGCCATGCACTGGATACAGCTTCCAGGTGTGCAGGACATGTCCTTCTCCCTTGGCTCCCAAGCACCAACCTCATGCTGTTACTCCTCTCTCAGGCTGTGACAGAACCCAAACCCACAGCCCAGAGACCACACCTATCAGCTGTCTCCTTCTGTGCCAAAGCTAATGTCTATGAAGTCCCACAATGAGGGGGACCAGGGACTTGATCTGTCTGGATACAAACGCTTTTCCTGGGGCATAAGTGGGGGGATTGCAGCAGCTGCAGCCCAGAGGAAAGCCAAAGTGTAACCAGAGCCATAGGCTGAGATGGACAGTGCCAAAAGAACACCAGGGAAAGAGAGACTTGGAAAAACAGGTGAGCAGAGGTGACACTGGTGTGATGAAAAGATTGGTCATTTTTAGATCTCAAACATTTGGATCTCTGCCCAAAGCACAGTCAGGCAAACACAACTTCCAAAGTGTGAAAATGGCTCATTGTTGCTATTGTAGTCACGTTCACTTGTCCCACTGAAACCAAGATGTGCGACTCCTCTGTTAAACACTGTAGCAGGGCACCTCACTCTCTGCTAGGGCTAATCTGTTGCTTGTTAGCTGGTGAACTCACCCCTCACATGAGTTTCACATGAGCTTGCTAATTGGTGAAATAACTCAATCAGGACAGCTTGTCTTATAGTGAGTTATTTCAGCACCATGTTTTCAGCTGATAATAAACATCTTGCTGTGGAAGTGAGATGAGGAGAGATAAGCTGGAATTTTTGACTGACAGACACTTCATTCTAAAATCTATCAAAGCTACACCAAACTTTCACAAAGCACATTTCTTCTGCACATTCCCTGGAAATGTGTGGTGGTCCCTCCCCAAAGCTGAGATGCCTGCTTCATGGTTACTCTCTTGAGTGTCGAGTGAAAGGACTCTGTGTACACTACAATTTGGTGGTCAGTGTAATTGACTCCTAATCAGTACTATTCCTTTGCTGGCTTTACTATAGGTATATTGATATCATGCACTGTTTTATGTAATATACTAGTAGTTCTTTAGTTTTATACTGTGTAGTAAGTAACTTTGTTTAAGATCTTTTGTCTGCTATCTCCTGTTTATTCAATAAATAACTCATTTTATAATAGACCTGGTCTGCCATCCTTTAGAACTTGTGGGCTGGGGTAATTTTAGGTGTCAACCACCTAAATTTAGGCTGCTGCCAAAAATCTGACCAAGGGCAGGACTTGTCTGAAGCTCACATTTGATTGATAACAAACAAATCCACTGGCTGGGTTTGTATGGGATACAAAGCATGCTTCAAATAATGGTGTAAAACTTTTAGAGCTCATTTCTCATGATGCCTAAAGATTTTTAGCATTTTTCATACATTTGTTCCTTTATAGATTAAAAAAAAATAATTGTGTACTTTTTAGTACTTTTCCTGCCCTCTCACATTTTAGAACAGTGAGTTAACCCTTTCTAACACATTCTTGAAATTCTGTTTAGTCTTATTCTCAAGAAGAAAATTTCTGACAAGGACATCCTGTTTTTCACTAGAATTTGAGAAACATAACAAGATATAGGGCAAAAAAACCCCTGGACCAACTCCAAGGGGCAGACCCAAGAGTGGGTTACTGGGGTAACTGATCTCCTATTGGATGTACCTGCTAGATGTACTAATTAAATAACCCTATAAAAATTATATAAATCCTGTATCACATGTATGCATGGACATATTTGTGCACCTGAAAACTTTCATTAAAGAATTGCATTTTATCTTACCACGGAAAGCTTTTGTCTTTTGATTCTAGGCAACACTCACTTTAACCTTCCTGAGAGATATTTGCCTACATCTATATGTGGGAAGATGTTCAGGTCTTACCCAAAGCCCTGAAAAGTCTCCTTTTCCTTCAAGATTTAGTAGCTGGAGTACAGAAAGATTAAGAAAGATACGGTTATTGTAATTTGTCATGTTAGTGCCAAGATTGGTGTGTACCTGCAGACTGTGTGAATCAGGGCATTTATACCAAAGACATTCTTTTGGATGTGGTGATGCCAGAGATGAAAGAGAGAGCTCTACATGAACTTTGCATGGATATAAAGAGCATGTGTGGTTTCTCCACCATTCCTCACCAGTGCATCAAGGGACACTTGCTAATGCACTCTTTATGATGAGGTTGTCGTTTTAGAAAGAAGTCCCAAATGTTTTTGTGTTCTTTACCCTGTTTTTCTTTGCACTTCAATAGCTCTTCTCCTTCTTTGGTCTTCATTCGTGATCCCTTTCTTGAAAGTGAAGACAACCCTATCTGCCTTTGTATTGCTCCTTCCAGCCATTATTTTTCTTCTGTAGGCACTCCATGTCCATAAATCATAGGCCTAGTCTTTTTCTGCATTCATCCCAGATGGAATTTGTCTTTATAGAACCCGAAGAAGGAGAAATGTATTTAGTGATACAGGTGAGTTCTCACAAGGGATTTGCACAATGGCTGCCTTTCTTGCCTGGCACACAGGAATATTTTTGCTGGTATCCCATTCACAGCTCATTGTCACCCTGTGATCTACTCCAGGAGCATTTGCCCCCTCCAATGTCTTCACACTGGAGCAGAAACTCGTGTCACTCCACCTGACATGGTGGTACCTATTTCTACTCTGCAGTTCCTCARGCAAGGAGAGTTTATTGATGTAGGGGATGTCTCCTCTGTCAGAGCTTCAGCTGGTGGGGAGGATGGGGGCAGTAGAACTGTACCATGACATAGAGCATTTCTGCTTCATAGGAGCCACTTTACTCTCCAGGAGTGTGAATAAAGCTTGGTAATGATCTTTTAAATGAATTCTGCATCTATGTAGTGAAAAGGAAGGTTGCCGCTGGCAATGGACAAGGAGGTGGCTGGATAGGTGGCATCGCACACTGAAAGGCATCTGCTGCTTCTTAGAGGCCCTATGTGCTTGGTAGAAAGCTACCAAGAAGGATTGAAGAGTTGATTTTATATGCTCACTTGAAACCACCTGTGATTGTCAGTGTGATGAAATGACTAATGATATAATTCAGATGCAAAGAAACCTAATTTTCTTTTTAATTATTGGATGAAAATATGAAAACCAGTCTTCTAGCATACACATGATAATGAGTTTGCAAAACTGGTGCAATGAGTGCAGAAAGTTGCCAGAATACACCTGTTCATTTGAAGAGTCTTTATATACATCTGGAGAGAGCTGCTCTCCTGCATGGACCACTCAGACATAGGTCATAGCTTGTCTCCAGCCCTGAATCCTGGGCGGACCTGGGACCCATGATACAGCCCTGTCTTCAGGCCTCTTTCCAGATGTATCTCTTGCTAGTCTCCCTGGCTGGCTCCTTGACCTGGCTTATTCCCTCTATGTACCAGAGGGTCTTTTTGGAACAGGTTACCAGCTGCTGGCTCTGCCCATCTGGGCCAGAGCCTGTGGGATTGTGCTCTGATGATGAGGGCATGGCCTTTGGCAGTCAGCAGCAGCTCCTGGCTCACCCACCTTCAATGAGCAGCAGACACTTGCTACTCCCTGACAATCTTCTTGCATAACTTCATCCTTCAACATTTGGAAATTGAGGCACTTCCTAAGCCAGAGCGTGTCGAAGTATTCACTGGCCTATCAGCTGACAGCCCTGCATGAACCTATCCTGCCTCACCGTATAAGTTTCTGGTTAACCTATAGCCAAACTGTAGACCACAAACTGATCTTCAGTGAGTGTCTCAGCATAAAAGTCTGGCAAAGAACTATAAATATCCTAAAGGAAAAAAAAATAGTGAAACCTAAATATAGGTTTTGCTATTAACTGCTTTTATAATAAATGTCATCACTTACTGACTTTCCCCTATGCCTAAGCAAATAACACAGTTTACTGATAAATGAAACAAACTCAGGAACAATTAGTACATGGCAGCTTTCAGCTCCTATCATGTTTTCTCTCCTGATCCTGTGTAATGTACAACAGGATATAAAGTCTGTTACAAAATTTTGTGAACTGACTATTGGAAGATCAAACATTTCTCACTAAGACATGTCCTAATGTAATGCCAGGAAGTATGTGTCTGTATATAGAGTACCTTTATTTGATACATGAAATTTTCAAACATCATCTACAGTGCTTGGAGCAAGAGAAACACATCGGTACATCATTTCGTTTGGGCTTTTTAATTTTTTTCCACAGGAGAGAGGCATCTGCTTAGGAATTGGGGATCTCAGGCATATGCAGTATGTAGGAAATGTGTATTTTCACTGGTAGCACACACCCTTTCTGTCCCATTCACCTCCACTCATTTTTTCTTGTCTCTGATGATACTGTCACTTTATTGTGTTGTGTTGAAGTGGAAGTTTCACCTATGCAAGATGAGCAATTTACAGCTCAAGTAAATGAAAGCATTTATAGCAGTTAACAAGAAGTTTATCATCATCACACAAACTGTGAAACTGTCTGCTTTTCCCTAGTTTAAAACCCAGCAGGAAAATTAAGTCCACTCAAGCTGCCCCCTTTTCCCCACCCCATTCCAACACTGGAAAAAAACCCTAGGAGATGTTATAAGAGGAAATCACAATTTACTGAGAAATCACAATAGTCACACAATATTGAGAAAAGAGTGTACTTAGCTGGGCTCTGCTCTGTGCCACCACTGCTCTCTCCCTTTTCTTTTTCTTAGAACCTTATCTCAGGCTCTCTGGTGCTGTTTTTCAGCAGAAAACCTGCCACTCAGAGGAACAGGAAAGGGACTGCTGGTGGCAGAGAGGGGCCAGCTCTACTAGGCTGACCCTGAAACCTGCACACCCCCCCCCCCCCCCCTTGAGCACGGTGGAAAATGGTGATCCTTCCTTTTCTAGCCCTGGCTTCCTCTTGCTGAAACCATGCCCCTGCCATGATGTGGGTGGTATGGAATTCAACAGTGCTAGAAACTCCACCCCTTTACTCTATAACCATGACAGACCATTATTGCTCTGCAAAATTACAGTTACTGATATGACTCATTAATAAATTCATATTAGTCAATGAACAGAAAAATATGCCTTATTTTGTGATGTTTCTGCTGTCCTTGAGATATTTTAAATCCTGCCAAACATTTTGCTAAAGTTTTAGAAAAAGATGATTCCATGCACTGTAAGAATACTCTTTTTGCCCATTTGGATTTCTTATTTGCCTCACTTTGAATGATGTGAGCACCCAAATATGGGCTGTTCTTCACATGATGTGAATCTTCATTATTGTCCATACTATATCTAACAAGGAGATGTCTTAAAAAGCCCATTGTGCCAGATACTGCGGAAGACACCATGAGACATGAGGAATGTCATTTTATTAGAATGCTGTAGTTGGTAATGCACCTGGACAGTATATTCTTAAACCTTATCCACTCAATATCACCCTTTCTTGCTAATCCATCTTGCCTCTCGACAAGTATTTTCCTCCACAGTTCCATTTCACCTGGTAGAAGTGTGAGATTTGCTTGTCTTCTGATTAACTAGATTCCATGATGATTGCTGTAATCACATCCCATCACTTAATGTAGGAGTGGAGGAGGATGGTACTGTCTCTTCACTATGTAGTTCACTATGGATAAAAAATCCAATCACCATTTCCTAGATTTTCATTTTATATAAATTCTAGTTGAATCAGGAAACTGAAGTATCTGTTGAACAATTTTCCTTCCTGAAACACAAAAATAAGTTTTCAATCAAACCAGCTTCTTACATATAGAAGGAAAGAGGGAGAATCTATCCCCACCTTCCCAAAGATGCAAAGCATTACAGCAAGATCCTTTTTTCTAAACTAACAAAGAAAAAGAAAGTTTTTTGTAGATGTTTTCTTTAAACAGTGAAGGATAAGCAATGAGGGAAAGCTGCCCCACTGGCTGCAAATAAATGAGTATCATGTAGATTATGCTTAGACCTTGTTCTAGCAATTTAGGTACAAAACATCTTTTTTTCCTAAATTTCTTTTACATTATGTAAGGAGGAAAGGAAGTGCCATTCTTGAAGTAGGTGAGTATGTCCCAGTAGCTTCGTTTTTGAAAAGTGGAACTCTGGGGCAGTGAGAGAAACCCAGACATTACCCAGTAATGAAATCTGGAGGGGGAGAAATTAGAAGTGTCAAACGTTTTCTTAATAGCAAAATTCCCTTTGAAATATAAAAATATTGCCCAAAATGGGCTTGCAGAGGAAGGAACAGTAATCCATTAGTGTCTCTTAGTACAAAATAATTATTTTGGAATTAGCAAAATTCGGCAGAAGTTTACTCGTATGAAAACCCCACGAAAACTGCCCCCATGAAAATCAAGCTGCAAAATGCCATATAGTGTCTGTTTGGCAGAGATGGATGGAGAGAGTGAGAGAGGAACAAAGAGTCACTGACAGTTTAGAATTAGATTTGTTAATTTTCAAACAGTGCAAGACTGGGTCTTTTGTATTTTGGCAGTGAGAAAAGGGCCTGTAGTGTGAGGTACAACAGCTTGCCCTGACAGTGCCCTGCATCTATCACTCGAGAAAAGAGGAAAAAGAGTCCCCCTAGTGTATCAATGCTGTAAGAAGCAGGAGTGTCTTGCTCGATTCACTGAATCTGCTGCAAGTTCTGCTGTGGCATGTGAACAAGTGCCTGAAGATATTTTAGTAAACCTGCAGACTCTGTTGATTACAAAGCTTCTAGTTAATGAAGGAAGGAACCATAGATAATCATAAATAATGAGCATTATAAAATGAACATATGTTTTAACACATTTTAGTTATGAAGTAATTGGGT